AGCAGGAGCTTCTGTTTTCATTAGAACATCCTGTTAATCAAATTATGTATCAAAACAAATTTTCAAAGGCTCTAGAATGTCTGTGTCACCTTCACAAAGCCATACAGTGTAGCTTCTTAATAAAGCCATACAGATTGGCAGTCTTAACTTTACCAGCAAGAACTCCTGACATTTAATATTAATCACCCGATCATTGCTCAGAAGTGCAGAATCAGTCTTGATTTCCTCTGACACTCTTAGTGACATTTCAAGCAGCCAAGAGGCAACTTACAGATGAAGATGATGCCTCTGATATTTAAACGTTAAGCTTTTGCCTTCTCAAAAGACAACTCACCTCTACGACCAGGAATACCTCGAAGGCCAGGGATTCCTCTCCCTGGTGCTCCTAGAAAATATGAAGTCACGTTAAACTCAAAGTTCTGAACAATTGTTAGAACACATCATAGTTGTCTAATATTCCATACATTTATTCTGAATTCAATGAATCAAAATAGATTTTTGTTATATTAATTTGATTATTTCTATTTCTTCTACCCAGAAATACAAATTTAATTGGTAAGTTTTTCTTTATAGTAGGAACTCTTATTTATCAGTCATATTTGAAGTACATTCTACAATAATAAGCTTTGTCTTTTTTCAGAGGAAAAAAAAAAGAAGAAGATTTGCATTTAAGTTAGTTACTAAGGAAAAGAGAAGAATGTAAATAGCCAAAAAATAAAATATATTAATAGTAATCACTTCAAACTTCATATGGGGAAAACTTATTAAATACTATGAATGCCTCCTCAATATCCTCTTTATACTAAGATGCAAAGAAACATTTTAACTGTACATTATGAAAACACTCTGTCAGAATTCGGTGGAAGAGTAAATCTATCTGTGGGCATGGAGGAGGGACATTTAAATGAAAGGTTTTACAACCAAAGGGGCCAGGTCATGGAAACCTCATCTTATTTCCACATACAGAGAATATTCCTTTAAAAGGAATTTGCTTCTTTTAATCTCTTTGAGACTAAGCACATAAGAACTGTTAACAGCAATATTTTGGCTCTTGCAGACATCAATGTTTTTAGGTGATGTTATGACCAATCACATGTGTAAGAGATCAATCACATATGGATCTGGGTTGTTAACAGCATGTACAACAACTACATAGAAAAACCTCTGAACCATGTAAAAGTGAAAAACCTTCTACCTCTAAACTTATCTTTGGCTCCACAGAAGCTCCTTATTAATCTTTCCCAGTTTAACTAGAAAAAAGCACAATCGTAAAAGAGCACAAGTTTCCCTGGTGTTACCTGGTTCTCCCTTTCCTCCTGGGGCCCCAGGCATACCGTCCTGGCCTTGGTTACCTCGCTCACCAACAAGTCCATCTCTCCCAGGGGCACCAGCAGCACCTGTGAATTATAATAGACCATAATATCATTTTTCACTTAGAGTATTTTGCATTTCAAATGGAGAATATGCAAATCCCATTTATTAAAATGTAATTACTTCAACTGCTTCAAAATAGATAAAACTGCTGGTATATACACACTTGTAAAGAGCAGCATATAATTTTTATTGTGCTCACTGGACTTCAACAGATTTAACATCCCCACTATTTTCACAGGTAATAACCTCCTGTGTTTCAAAGACATTTTTTGGACCCTGCCTTTGATTTAACCCACGCTGGTGTAAATCCACAAAGGCAGTGTGTTTTTTTCTGCCTGGCTTTATTACAAATTCAAGTTTTTCTAAACAGGGAGTAGATTCTCACATTTGACAACTCCACTGCTAAGTCAGTGCAAGTTGATTTAAGTCTATAAAATCACATCTAATTTTGATGAGGACCTCTGAATACAAGAGCATTCAATGCTCTTTTTGAGGACAATGACTGGCACTCACTTCAATAACACCTGCATTGCATATCTCTGTTGCTGCATATTTACACACTCTGCCTTAGGTATGTTCTGAATGGTTTGATCTTTTCTGTTGCTTTAACAAACAACCACAACTCTGTCCCCTCTTTCCACTTGAATTCATTTTCTTTTTCTCCCCATGTAGCCACGCCTTAGTTTATTATTGTCTTTTATAAGATAGAAAAAGCCTTTCTCATAATTGTGTGGACATCACATCTTGAGATTTCTTGATGAAAAAAAAATGGCAAAAAGCTTGACAATAGTGAAACAAGATTAAAACCTCCTGCCTCAGCTGATCTGATGACACTGAAAAGAGGCTGTTAAAGACCTTAGCCAGGATGAAAGAAGGTACAGAAAGCCTTGAACCTATGTGAACAGGGACTGTAACTGCATCAGTTAAATACTAAAAAGCTCAGAAGAACAAGAAAATCATCTGCCTCCTTATAAAGGAAATAACCCTAGAGGGGGCAGTGCTCTGGGAGAGATGCTCTGAACCATACCAGGAGGGCCAGGCATGCCCTGCGGTCCCGGGCGGCCCTGCTGTCCTTTAACACCAGCCTCCCCAGGAGCTCCAGGCTTCCCTGGAAGAAGAAAGAGCGTGGGAGAAGAGACAAGGCATTATCAGTAGGCCCAGACTCAGTCTGAGAGCAGTTCTACCATTTGTGCTTGGGAGAGCTATGACAGATCTCTGGCTGACGTAGGGTCGTCAGGTTTACAGCAGCTGCATGTAAATGTGCTGCCCTGCAAGCACCCCGTGTAGTTTATTGAGAAATTATCTTCTTCCAGAAGCATGCCAACATCTCACCACCCCTCCACAACAGAAGATACCTGGGATTCCTGCACCTCCAGCCTCCCCTCTCATCCCATGTGCTCCTGGTACTCCTGTGTGTCCTGGATGACCTTGGGATCCTTTTTCTCCTTTGCTGCCCAAAACTCCAGGGAGGCCTGGATCTCCCTGAGAAATAGCAGTTGCACACAAACAGGTGAGAAATCACATTACATTAATTAATTTACGTTCCATATTTGAACAACACAAGAATCACATGTAATTTTTAAGGGTGTCATCATGGTTCATCATTGTTTTCAGGCAAAAATCAAAGTAGACTAACACGAAATCTTCTCATAATACCACTGGTCCTACAGACATAGCTAAGAAAAAAAAAGATCTTTCTTTAATCTGTACAAACCAACTTCAGTCTTTAGATGTATTCACCAGCACATAGACTTCCCTTCAATTTTATTCTAGCAGCTCCTCCTTTGATCCAAACATACACTCCTTACAGAATTTGCAGCCACAGAAAATACTAAAATGCCCATTTTTCCTTAACTTCCTACAGACTTTCATGACAGTAATCTCATTGTGGCAGCCCAGGTAATACAGAAAATAAACAGATCATTTAGACAGATTACAGGAATTACAGTATGGTTTACAGCCTCAACCACATACTCCAAATAATCTCATATGTAAAAAGACTCCCAGTTGTCCAACAACCAGAACATGCAGTGTAAAACTGTATCCACGTGACCTAATTTAAAATATACTGTTTTCTTAGCAATACATGTGACTGACAATAATATACCTAAGATAATATATATTGCTAAGCAAAAACCGAATTAATTTTGTGTAATGATATTACTAGATTGTATTGTTGATTTTTGACAATCTTAGATGACAAAACTTTGCATTTGCTAAAAGGTCAGCAGTAGAAATGTCTTTAAGTGCAAGTCCTTGTTCTTAATAGATTAGCAACTTTCACATAAACAAAGTTATTTCCCAGATGTTTCACTCTTACAAAGAAATTCTTACGCCAAGAGGAAAATGAAATACAATTAACTAAAAAATACCTTCTGGGTAATGATTCAATAGAATTTTCCTATTTCTCATCACTAACAAATCATCTGCTTCTGCAAACTCTGCAGCTCTTGTTTACATGTTGTTCTGTTTCTGAAGTCAAAGGCTCTGCTTGCTCCCTAATTTGACAATGTTTCCATTCCTTTTATACCTTTGGACCTGGCTCTCCTGGAGGCCCAGCAGATGGGTACCCAGGATCTCCTTTGTCACCTGGAAAGCCACCATCGCCAGGAGGACCAGAGTCACCTGGGGGTCCTGGAAAGCCTGGAGATCCCTTCTGTCCTTTTGGACCTGGAAAATTACAAATACTGATACCACCCACAGGATCACATTTGCATACCATTTGTGAACTACTGCTTGTGTAGTCAGACACTTATTCTTGATTTTATTTCTAAAAACATTAAAAAGAGGTGCTTACATGTAACAACATATAAATTAAAGAAATTATATTTAACTTAAAGAGAGGGAGAACTGCATTCTGCAAGTCAAGCAAATGCTGGTGTGGTGAGAAGTCTATAGGTACTGCAAAGAACAAATCCCAGCCTAAATATTGTGCAGCGCTTACAGTAACAGCTCAGCTCTGTGCCAATGCTTTGATACAGCTCTAAGAATTTGTAATATGGCTTGACAGAAAATAACCTGGAATTCCCATGTCCCCTTTGCTTCCTGCTGCACCTGGGAATCCTTGTCCTCCAGGAATCCCTGGAAGACCCATAAATCCTTTGACACCTGCAAGATGAAGAAATAGGTGTCATCTTCACACGTTTGCTTTAGACACTGTCTGGCAGAGCTGCCATGAACATAGAATTCTCTGCTGCATACCTTGACATGGTATCTTATTATTTTATAAATTTACACCCACCCTCTTGCCCCAGACAATGATAAAATTATCACTGTTGTCAGAAGGTCAAGGAAATAACAAACATCTTAGATATCTACATGAAAATTAAGGTTTGTGACAACAGCACTTGGGGGAAGTCCCTGAAATATACATTTGCATATTTTGATCAAGATGATGAATTTGTATTTACACAGTAGACTCTCCTTTCATTGTCTCCCTGAGTTCAGCCTGGTTTCTGGGTATGTCACAATCACATTGTTACTCACTCATTACGCACTTCTCATGACTGGTGTACTCAAGAGCTTTTTCTTGTACAACCTAAGCACACACCCCCCCTTTAGCTTATTTTAGCTCAGTCGGCATTCAATTTAATGACTACAAGACCTAGTCGCACCTAGAATCTCCAGATGTCTAAATTCCAGGGTAGTGGCCATGGCTGAACCTTTAAACAGGTGAGGTTTTATTTGCTTGCATTAAAAGTTAGGGAGTAGTGGAGCATTTGCAGTTTTTCCTGTGGTGACTATAAAGGATGCTAGTGACAGAATACAGCAGTGATGCTAGAATGATAACACTGCATGGATGATTGCCATCATGAGAAGAGCCATTATAATGACAAGTTTAATGTTAATTCCAGTTGGTTTTCTAGAAAGAAGATATCTCAAAGAATCAAAAATACAGAATACAGAGAAGTAAAGATGTTTTATTAGCATTAATTTGAAATAACAGATGCACTGTCTCACTCAGGGGTCACCATGTATCATTATGTATGAGGTTATGGTAATGGCCAAGCAAACCTTTGTGAAATAGCTGAAGTAGGTTTATAATTTCTGCAGGTTCTTATTAAGTTTGCTTTTCAATGAAGATCTGGTAACATTCAAAAGAGAAGCCAAACACTGCAGGCTTTGAAGAAGGAAATAAAATCAATATCAAATACAAAAAGCTTTTGAATTATTTTTGTGCATAACTGCAATGTTCATATCTTAGAATTATGACTTGTTTGTAATTTTGGGAATTCGAACTTCTCTTTGCTTTTATAAATACACATTTTTATTCATTGGCCTTGACAGCTTTTACATTTTTAAGTTGTTATTTTTTAAGATTCAGTATTATTTTCTATTTATCAGCCCAAACAGTGGTCTATATTTGGAAGGAAAGAATCACTTGGTAGTAGATGCATCTTTCAAATACCAGCTTTTGAAATTGCCAAATTCTAGAATTCTCAGAAAAGCTTCAGAGTGAAAAGAGAAGCTTCAGTACATAGTGTAATGCTGCTGAAGCAGAGTTTAGGAGCTAGCACTGAGGTGATACTATCTCTTCTCTCCATGTGGTGCAGTAATTTTCTGTATACATATTCCATACCTGGTAGACCAGGTATTCCTTCAAACCCATTGTGACCTGGTGGACCTTGCACACCAGCATCTCCTTTTTCTCCTCTTGGACCCATTCTTCCTTGAACTCCTAAAACAAAGTTTCATTTTAAAAAATATTACAAAATGACATCTTTAAAAGCTACAAAAAACTTATGTTCTAAGTTTTATAACTCTTAAAAACTAATAAAGCTTAAGTGGAGCATAGGATTTTCACTCTGTAAACACATAAGGCAGACAAGCTCACAGTGAATGCCTTGCACATTTCTCATATGGAGGAAAAAGGAAGCTTCTGAAAGCTTCCAGAGGAAAATGTCTACACAAAAAGCCAGATAGCATTAGTCAAGCACATACAACTCGTATACAGAGTCCATATTAATATTGAAAACAAAGGAATTCTTCTGAGCAGACTTAATTTCTCTGCAATCCAGCATTTAGTTGCTAAGTGCACCCATTTCTGTGCTCATAGGCCTCTAAACGTGTCAGAACATGAATATACAGCATGTATGGATATAAGACCCCTAGTACCACTGACATTATTACTGGTTTAACATTACAGCAAGTGTTTATTTTTTTTTTTTTAAGGAATCTGGACTTGTTAAAATGGAAATAAACATTCTGCGTAATATCCAACTATCTCATACATAAAGGCAGTTAGTGTTCAGCAATAATTACTTCAAAGCTGTTTGAATACTGCCAGCAGTAGAGTCAGTTTCTTCCAGTTTGAGAGTCCAGCAGAACAGCAACAGATGACAATCCTAACTGGTTTTGCATGACAGAACCACGAACTTGTACCTTTTATGCCTCGTTCTCCTTTATTCCCACTACGAACCAAGGTCTCAGAGGGTCCAGGAAAACCTTTATCACCTGGTTCGCCTTTTGCTCCAAGAAACCCTCTTCTTCCCTTTAGTCCTGGAAAGCCAGAAGAACCTGCAAGAAAAACAGAATGAGATTTCCTCAAGAAACCTGACTAGATGACATAAAAAAGGTAGCAACAAAACTCTTGTCTTCAAGGGCAACCAAGTATGTAAATACACATTCCAAATCAACAACCTAAACTAGCTTCTCAACTACTTCAATCACCAATAAAACATCTAAGAGCACAGATTATGACAAGAGATTACAATTATTTCTTATATGGAATATATGCATAATCTTATATCTGTTGAGTAGATATAATTATGATATTTGGAACATGAATAGGATAAAAAAAAAATATAGGGGAAAAAAAGCTCTTTGCTCTTTATTTAGGAAATTGCCAGCCACTGTTACAAATACCAATGAAATAGGAAAGGTGGCAATTCAAAACTGCTAGAAAATAATGTTGTCACAGAATCACAGAATGTTAGGGGTTGGAAGGGACCTCCAGAGACCAAGTCCAGCCCCCCTGCCAGAGCAGGACCATCTCGTCTAGGGCAGGTCACACAGGAAGGCATCCAGACGGGTCTTAAAAGTCCCCAAGGCAGGAGACTCCACAACCTCCCTGGGGAGCCTGTTCCAGTGCTCTGGAACCCTTACAGGAAAGAAGTTCCTCCTCATGTTGAGGTGGAACTTACTGTGCTCCAGCTTGTGTCCATTGCCCCATGTCCTATTGCAGGGTATAAGTGAGAAGAGATTGCCCCTTCCTTCCTGACACCCAGCCCTCTTATATTTATACACATTAACTAGATCTCCCCTAAGTCTTCTCTTCTCCAGACTGAAAAGCCCCAGGTCTCTCAGCCTCTCCTCATACGGCAGATGTTCCAGTCCCCCAACCATCCTCGTAGCCCTTCTCTGGACTCTCTCCAGTAGATCTCTGTCCCTCTTGAATTGGGGAGCCCAGAACTGGACACAACACTCCAGGTGAGGTCTCACCAGGGCAGGGTAGAGGGGGAGCAGGACCTCCCTTGTTCTGCTGCATACACTTTTCTTAATATACCCCAGGATACCATTGGCCTTCCAGGCCACAAGGGCATATTGTCATTACATGTCATTGCACATATGCAGAAGCCAAAGGTTTCCCAAGACTCATTCCAGTATTTTCCCAAGAAATTTCCATATGACACATGTTCAGGAGCAGTGGCATACATCAAGATGGATCACAAGACTTCTTCAGCATGGAAGTGCCTATATTCTAAGTACAATGACGGCAGACACTATGGCCACTTGCCTCTCAGACCCGGCTCGCCTGGTCTTCCAATCATGCCAGGGGGTCCAGGAATTCCTAACATGCCCATTATACCTGGCTCTCCCCTTGAGCCTGTGGAATTGAAGGAATAGAAACATATTTGTTAGCATTGGATCAGTGGAACAGAAGATTATGTTGGAAAACCACACATATGCCTGTCAGTTATTTAATTGCTTATGTTATTTTTTTCTCTCCGTTTCTGTAACATACTGTCTGAGCCAGTTTTCCAGTCTTTCACCACACACACAGCACTTACACAGAGGATAACCCCAAGCTACCCAGATGAGCAGTTGCAACAGCTTCTATCACTGAATGACGTAAATAACAGCAAGGATAATGTATCTGATACCCACACAGAGATGGGAGACTTGTCATGGGATGTATGGGATGAACATTCCTTTCTGCCTGAGGAGCTGAAGGCCAGCTAAGATGTCACATGTCCCCTTAAATGACATCAGAAGTCTAGGTCTGCATAATTGAGTCAAGTGCTACTTGTTTATCATTAGTATTATAGGTTGTATATATGTATATGTGTATGTATATATGTAACATCTCCTTCCCACAGGATAATGAAGGGTTTAACAGTAATGAAAGAAATCTTTTTTAGAAATAGGAAGCATTATATAACTGATTTCTTTTATTCTACAAATCAAATTTAAAAAAAAAAAACAAATGAACAACAACATAGGGATTACCTACCTCACTTAAAGTTAGCTCTGGTTAATGTGACAGTTTGATCTGACTGGACTCTGTCTAGAAGACAGCATTAACAAGCTATCTGTGTGAAAAGGGATGCTAAGTAAGAACTAAACTTTTTACACTTCCCTTAAGCTGGGGACTTGCTTTGAACATGAGCTATTTCACATCCTACTGCAAGTATGTTACTGTACAAGAGCCACTGTGAGGCAGCCTTCTGTTCTGAGAACCAACACAGAAAATTCCATCCCGTGTCATGACAGCTTCAAGCTGTGATTGTCATTTAGGGAATGATGATTTATTTGTTTTCCATACAGATCTCAATGATGGATGAAAGATGTTGATGGAAAAATATTTCAGCATCTGCAGTTTGGAAAAGTGTGACCCACACCTTTTTGACTTCATTTTTACATCAAAACAAGTATTTGGGGAATCCTTACCTGGCACACCAGAGATTCCTGGCCTTCCAGACTGTCCCTTGGGACCAGGTAATCCGGTATTTCCCTGAAGACCTATTAATCCAGGCTCCCCAGGATTTCCATGGACTCCTGGGATACTCAAACCAGGAGGACCCGGTTTTCCTTTAGAACCTTGCAAACCCCTTCCTCCTAAGAAAAACACATGACAATGTAGCATGGTACTTCTGCCTGGAAAATAAACCTTCAGCTTTATCTTGTCACCATGAGCATGAAACTCTTCTTGAACTCTGCCTGTTTGAGGGCTAAACACTAGATCTGTACAACATACACATTCAGGACATCTTGAGAGTTGTGGCTTGTTTTTTTAAAGGTGGAAAAAAAAGTGAAAGTAGAAAATTATCTTCTTTTCTCAGGAAGAAAACAAAACAAAACAAACAAAC